CCAGCTAGCAAGCAGTGGGACCACCGGGAACATCCATTGCTCATTCAGAGAATGAAGGTGCCCACGAGAATCATCTTCTCCTTTACAGGTTGCTGTGCTATTTCATGAGCTTGGGGTTTAAAATAAAAGGCATTGTGCCCATAATCACATTACTGCAGTAACTGATGAGCGATGGTCACTGAGCTTTGGAATGTACCCCAGTTGGCACATATTTGGGTACACTGGGTGGGCAGGAGAGGGATTCGCTCCTCCCCAGGACTTGAGGCTGGCATCTCAGACGTCCCTTGGAAGCATCTCAGGCCGGTAAGTGACACTAGACACCCCAGAGACTGAGTATCTTGAGCCCCACCTTGGGGAAACTAAGCTGTTTTTGAGTCTTTGTTGAAAAAAAAAGATGAAGAGGAGTTTGCTACTCGGGAGCTGTTGTTTCCCCCAAGGCAAATACCCCACCTTCCTCCAGTGTGGAGCTCCTCCTCCACACCATACTTTGCTGCTCACAGCTCTTCTTCCAGTAAAAACCCTGGATCTTTAATAAATTATCAACATGGTTTCTCGTCCATCTGTTGGCGCCAGACCTCCGTGTGGTCCGCCTTCTCTGGTGCCCTCATGCCCGGGAGAGATCTTGCTGTTTGATTAATCTTTTAGGTCCTCCCACAGAAAGCCCACTGTCTGGGCTGACTCTCTCCCGGTGTCAGCTTTTAAGGCCATTTCTCAGGCCCGTGGTCTCCTTTCTAGGCCCCTGCTCATCCCCAAGCAGGCTGCAGGTCAGGCCTTAAAGGGCAGGTGATGGTAACTTGGACACCGGCTCAGGGACCAGTAGGTCTGCCGGCACAGTGCCTTAGGCTCCTTGCCTTGGACCAAGGGAAGTCAAGCGGACCTGGGCTCCCCTCACCACACTGATCTATCAGGTGTGTGACCTTGAGTGAGTTCCAAGCCTCAGTTTCCCTCATCTGCAGAGGGAAGGTTCTCACAGACTATCGTGAGGGTCAAATGAGACAAAGGGTCAGCTGCAGCAGGGACAAGAGAACAGTCCCATGAAGTCCTTTGAGCCTGTGTGGGTGAGGCCCCTCCCTGCTGCCCGCTCTCCCTAGGCCTGGACCTGCAGGGGGAGCTGCTGGGCTTCCTGGCTAGTACTCCAGGTAGGGCCTGCATCCTTTGCTCAGTAGCGCAGGCAAAAGACTGCAGGGCTCCGAGGCCCAGGAACCAACCACTCAGACTCCGCTCAGGTCAGGGAGTTGAACTGGGTCACCTCTAAGGTCTCTGTCTTCGCTACCTTGTGTTCCTGAGCCTAGTAAATCAGCGTGGTGCTTTGCATGGAGCCCAGTAAATGAGCATAGTGTATTGCATGGAGCTGGCTCAGCTGCTTTCTGGATGTGATTACAATTCCAGCTCCCTTTTCCTCAGCACCAGGTGCTTTGCCTGCATTATCTGCAGTCTTTATTGCAAGCCTGGGAGGGAGGGATTTGTCCACATTTTACAAGTGACGGCATTGAGGCGCAGGGATGATAAATGTGATGCCCACGGGCACACAGTCTGTTCTGTACAGACCCAGATTCAAATCCAAGCATCAAACCCAGGTTCCTTTCACTAGCATTGATACCCCCTTGTTTGAGTGCCCTGCCTGTCATCACCCCTCATCTGCTCTTGGGACAGGGCAGGGCCACTCACCAGAGATGCCTTTCCAGCCCACGAAGGATCGAGCTCTGCCCAGCAGTCAGTCGTCTGCAGATTTGGACTGATGCTAGAAATAATACTAGTTCCTGTTTGTCAAGCACCTATTACTGCCTAACATGTCCATAATCTAAGAGAAAATACCAGCAACTTAGGAATTATCTCCATCTTCTAGGTGGGGAAACGGAGGCTGAGATATAGTGAAGCCACAGATAACACAGTGACAATGGTAGAGCCTCACTGCAAAAAGGTATTTGCGACATGCTGTTCAATTTCCCACACTTAACTGACCACTGACTATAATCAGAGCTCCTGGTAGTTGATGCTATGAGACCTTCAGCAGGAGGGACTTGGGCCAACCCGTTTCCCGGACGAGCACACAGCAAACTGGAGGGGTGGCTGACTTGCTCAGGTCCCCTGCTGGCCGGTGATGTCCAGAGCACCAGGCCAGGAGCCTGCAAACTCCTGGAATCTGTCCATCCCTGCTGCGTCTGTGAGAGCCTGTACCTCCTCCTCCATGAAGCCTGCCTCACCACCCTAGGCAGTCACACCCCTGCCCAACTCTGCATGTGTGCTTCTGTGTCACCACTCATCAGTACGGCTGCATACCCAGCTGGTGTCTTCCAGACATGTGGCCCCCTTTCCCAAAAGTCCTCTAAGCAGATGACAGCACCACCATCCCTCCCCAACTTTCCCCTGTGTAACTTATGCCGTGAAAGCTGGGACTTGGGGGCCCAGTGCCCCCAGCATGTAGAAGGGGCACCAGCTCTGATGCAGTGCCCAGGGTAGGGACATGGCAGCAAAGAGAAGCTTGGGGCTCAGCCACTGGATGTGTCGCAGACCTGACAGCGGAGGCCTCCCAAGTCTCTGCTCACCGTCTTTTCTTGTCTCTCAGGGAAACCAGGAGTGTGCACCAAGCTCTCTGACGTATCACCTCCCCCTTTAGAGGTAGATGATTATCCCAGCCTCTCCTTGACATGTGATTTATTCACCTTGGTACTGAACACACTCACTTTGTCCTCCTTCTGCCAAGCCTCTGCATGCCCTTGTGAACTCTGCAACCTTTCAATCCAGATCCCCAGTTCCACCTCCCCACCTCCTTCCCACTGCTCCTAACACAAGTCAGGGCTGTGTCAAAAGATAGGCAAGTCCTAGGCCGCTTCTGGCTGGGGACTGTTTCAAGGCATTTTCCCTTCCCTTTTATAATACTTTCTAATGTAGAACAAATCACCCCAAATATATAATATAGGCTTAAAGCAACAAGTCAGGGCTCCTCTTCCTGGCGTTTGTGGGTCAGGAACTGGGAGCATCTTGGCTGGGCGGTGCTAGCTCAGAGTCTCTCCTCGGGTGCAGCCAGAACCTGATACAGCTGTCATCTGATGCCCTGGCTGGGGTGGGTGGACCCACTTCGAGGCGGCTCATCCCTATGGCTGGTTTGTTGATGTGGGTGTGAGTGGGTGGCTTTGGCTTCTCTCCACATAAGCCTCTCTGGCAGGGCTGACTGTCTTCACAGCATGGCAGCTGGCTTCCCTGTGCATGGCCAAGGCAGAGGCTACAGAGCTTTTGGGATTTAACCTTGGAAATCACATGCAGTTGCTTTCACCATATCCTATTGGTCATAGGCGCTGCCCTGAGTCAGGGAGAGAGGCAAAAAAAGGGCATGAAGACTAGAAGGTAGCTATGACAAAAAGCCACCTGGGAGGCTGGGCTCTGCACCTTTCGAAACCACAGAAGGCCGAGTCTTCATTTCCTGACTCTCTCCCTCCCTTTCACCATACATGGGTATCCGGTGTACTTTGCCCCATTCTAGGGTGCAGAGCTGGGCAAAGCCTTGACCTTCCCTGAAGGACTCGCAGTCAAGGTCGGGAGAGTCTTATCACAGGAAGTCCTCAAAAAGAAACTTTCAGAATGACGGAAGCACAACGGACGGGGGAGTATGCAGTGCTCTCGCAGCAGAAGGGACATTCACTTTGTGTCTTGAAGGATGAATAGGAAAGGGGAGGTTAGTGCCCCGTTAGCACTGTGCAGAGAGCTTTGGCAGCATTTGAGATTGTGACTGTGAAAGCTCTTGAAGGCTGTGGTCAGGAGCTGGACTTCGTGCATCAGCAGCCACTGGAGGGCTTCGAGCCAGAGGAGAGCCTGGCAGAGCCATGGGGCAGACAGAACAGGATGGCAGGAAGACTGGAAAGGAGGTTGCTGCCACCATGATGGAAAGGTTGTGCTGAAGCCATGGGGCTGGGGACAAGTCTCTGGAGCTGGAGCTGACAGGATGTGACAGGAAGGCCAGGGAGGCCTGAGGCCTTGCCAGCCTTTCTCTTCCCCAACTCCTGCTTCTTGTGATCACCCATGCCCTGCACCTGCTCTCTTCCTTAGTTCAATGCCCGACTGTCTCTGCATCAGCACCACAAGCCTGCCGTGTGTGCTGCCGCAGAACAAAGCGTCAGGGTGGCCACAGGGCACCAGCCCTGAGGACTGCGGATCTCGACGTTTTTAGGTCGCAAACTTCTTTGAGGATCTAGTGAAGGTTTGAGCCATCTTCCCAGCGGAAAGGAAACGTACATTTGCACAAATAGTTCACAAACAATTTTGGAGGGCTCAGTGGCCTGGAAAGCCCACCTTTGCCCCAAATTAAAAGCCTAGGGAAAGAGGCGGAAATGAGAGCAAATGTCTGACTCCCCAAAATCTATTATTTACTTCTTCTTCTCTTCCTCCTCCCACTCTCACCCATCATCCGGCAACCCCTGAAACTGAGAAGCAGGAGACAGAGTTCACCCAGTGATGGCCCTTGGTGGCACCAGCCTCACTTGGCAGGTTTATTTCCATTATTATAGTAATTTTCGGGCTGCGGGCTACAATTTTCACTTGCAGCGAGGTATTAAATTGAAATTACCCCAGATGTAATTGGTGTACAGGATAATCCTAGACACATGGAAGTGCATGCTTTCTCTTCCGGCTTTATTGCTTACACAGGGCTTTAGAACTCGGCCTCCTTAAACAGCCGGATTTCAGTGTGGAGCCCAAGACTTGGCGCGGGGATTCTATAGTTGCTGGGATCCACCGTGCACTAGCTCTGGCGGGCATGCACAAATATGACACTTGGTTTGTTGTCTCTGAACTTAGTTTAGATTGGCTAAATCCCAAGTTCCCCCAAGATGGCAAAAACTGAGCTTCAGTCTTTCCCAGAGCTCTCTTCACCCCACCTATGGCTAGGGGAGGCCCCCAGATGACAGGCACCTGTCTATACTGGTGACCACCCTAATGCCCATTTTCTCAGCTCTTTGCATCGCTTGGCCACTGCAATCCTACTCATCTTCCACCTTCTTTCTCAGGTGCACGCTGCTGGTGTATCACACAGCCCTTCCGCCCACCAGCATCATCATCACTTTCCACAACGAGGCACGCTCCACCTTGCTTAGAACCATCCGCAGGTAAGGCGCCTGCCCCGCCTGTGGGCCGACACCGGGCCAGCGCTTGGTGATGGCCTGTGCCCACCAGGAGCTGCTGTGTCCTAAGAATGCCAGGTACTTCCAAGCATGTGCCAGGAACTAGTCTACATACCTCATGTGTGCACTCGGCCACTCCTCACATGCCAGTGAGGAAAGCCATCTTCCCGCTTACAGGGAGAAACAGGCCTTTGGCATTAGTACCTTGCAGAAGTTTAAAGAGAGTAGAGAAAATGATCCGGGAGTCCTAGCCCTTTACCTTATGCTAGTCGGCCTTGAGACCATGTGTTCACAACTGACAGAGGCCTGGAGAGGCTGGGCCTATGCTCCACCCTCAGCATCAGGCTGGGGTCAGGGTCCAGGTCCTCCATGGGCTGCCTTCCCTGCACCCTACCTCTCCATGGCCTCCCACCCATGTTCCTTGGGTTCCAGCTCTGTTGCCCTTGGACCACTCTGACTACCTTTGGCTTCCAGTCTAGGGCATGCACGGCCTATAAATGGCTTTGAGGATGCGTCTTGTACACAAGTCCCAGAGCCAGCTCCAGGAGAACTGTTCCCTGGACACAGAGTTGGCTCCCAGAAGACGTGCTCCAGAACTCCTGCCCCAGGTTCTCAGAGCTCCTGGCGGTCTTAGCTGCCTTTTCCCCATGGCATGGTTCCCTGATGCCATGGGTAAGAAAGAAGACTAAGTGTGGGCCAGAGAAGTACAAGCAGCATGGCAGACCCTCTGGTCATCTCCGCCACTCAAGCCGCACTTTGCTCCCTCCCTCCACACCGTGAGTGCAGAGGGAGGTTCTGGGTGAAGAGGAGTGTGCCCCACAGTGGGCTCCTCCTAACAGAGGCCACCAGATTTTCAGCTCCTCCCGTCACTAAGTGACGAATGTCCACTACGCAGGGTCAGCGTGTCCTCAGAAACCCCGAGAACAGCAGGCATGCAGAGGGTCAGCTCCGCTGCTCGGATGTCCTTTGCACTTGACCCACTGGCTGCTTCCCCCTGCTGCTGGCCCTTTGCTGGCTTCCACTCTCACCCCACAAGCCACCCAATTCAAGAGTGAGTCAAATGGGATTTCCCAACAAGGCAACAGCTCATGACAAGAAAATGTGCCGGGTCACTGTGGGTGTCACTGTAGTCAGTAAGGTACCTTGCTGACTTGTAAACCAGTACAGGTATATAGGGGAGGAGCAGGGATAAAGGGTTCCCTGATTAAGTTGGGTTTCTTCTCACTGGAGAGAAGGGAGTTTCTGGGTCACCTGGGCTGAGCAGATACACCAAGGACAGAGGTGGCTGATTCTAAAGTGCTGGCCTGGGCCCTGCACCATCATCACCTGCTGGGCACCGGAGCATCTTCAGGAACAAACCAGTGGCACCTCTGGTGGCTGCCGCCCAGGTCGTGTCTGGACGTGTTTGCCAGATGTTGCCGTGAAAACAATATTAGTAGCCCAGAGAGGTTCCTGCTTTCCACACTGGCCTCTCCTGCCCTTCAGGGAGTCCTTTGGTGCCGAGAACATGCACATGCACACCTAACACACGCACACACACACACACACACACACACCAGCAAGGGCTTCCTCTGGGCTTTTCTCTGCACATCCCTGTCCAGTACTTAATGCATTTTTCACAGTGTGATCTTCAGCGAGCTCTGCTAAGGCAGGACTCTTATCTGACTCATCTCTTAGTTTCCCTCCCTGTGGCTGTTTGCTAATCAAGGAGGTGGGAACACTGATCCTGCTTAGCACCTGGAGCTGCTGTGGGTTAATCCTTCTAGGGGACGGAAAGCTGTGCCTGGCGTGGAGTGAATGCTTGATCTGTTACCCATCTCTCTGCAGCTGCACAGCTAGTGAGCACTCCAAAGGGGCCGGAGGGTACTGAAAGGATACTGTACTCGGAGTCAGAAGATCTAGGTCAGGTTCCAACCCTGCCACCTCCCAGCTGTGTGGCCATGGAAGGTTATCAGCCACATGTGTAACATTTCCAACCATAAACTTTGCTCTAAGAAATGTCCTGGATGTTTTAGGTGTGTTATAGCATGAGGCAGGGGTCTCTCAGGCCCCACTAACACTGCATTTTATGTTCTCCAGGGCACCTGAGCTGCCACCCGCAGATTTCCTCTTCAGCTCTGAGAGCTTCCTCTTTCTCTTCCTGCTGCTCTTGTATCTTTTATAACAGTAACAGTAATACGTAAAAATAATAGTTTTGATACATTAATGCATCCTGAGCTGTATGGTCTACAGAACACTTCCCACCTTTCGCTTTCATGGGAGCTTCATGCTGAGCTGGGCAGAGCCCAGAGCCTCCGGGCTGGAAAGCAGAGGAGCCAGCCTTGGGCTGGGAGGAGACAGTGCAGCACCTCTGTCCATTGGGCTGGTGGAGTGCTGTCCCCAACATCCTGCACCCTGCACTCAGAGACAAAGTTTAGGTCCCATCAGCACCCTGAAAGCTGAAGTTCCAGACCAGCAAGCTAAGAGCCACGGACGATTTTCTGCCTCCCTCACACTTCAGATGTAAACTAACCCCGGGCTCGATCCAGGTGTGATACCCACTAATAGCAACTCAGGAGCCTGAGAACTATCAGCAGGCTGGACCAGAGGAATTTTAGGAGTGGGTATAAGGAAGTCCACTTTCTGGAAACACCTATACTTTAAGATTCTGTACCTCCCTTCTACTCCAGGTTACCCAAATAATTCATTAGCCATTGGGGGCATGAGATGAAGTATGGATTCCTAACTTGATTTTGTCATCCATGAAAAGGTGCCCTCTTAGGTACCACTCCACCCTATCTTACAGGGAGGACTTGGGTGCATGCCCTTCTTCACCACCATCCCTGTCCAGGCCTCTGAGCCACTAAGCACTGTAGTTAGTCGGGGCTCTGGGGGCTGGGAATGGGGGCTCAGACCCAGGCAGAGGCCTGGTGGGGGGAGAGGGTCACAGTCTTGATTAATTAGGGACTTACTTAAGGAAAAAGAAAGCATGCCCTGAAGGATGGGCCATCTTGAATGGTGTCCCTGAAGGTCTTTGTGTTTATGTGAGACCCAGGGCTGCCCCTTCCTCTGGGGGCATCCTGCAGCCCTACACCTCCCATGGGGGCTCCGGAGCGTGCACCATCGATCACCTCACATCCTCACTCTTCTTAATGTTATGTTTTGTTGATGCTGCTGCTGTTGTTGTTGTTATTGTTACTGTTTTGTAATAGTCCAGCTCTAGAGGGGCACTTTCTCTGGGAAGATGGTTAAGACTTTGGATGCTGGGGCTAGATTTGCCTGGCTCTGCCTGAAACAGTTGTGTGACCCTTTGCAAGCTGCTTAATCTATCTGCCTCAGTTTCCTTTTCTGCAGAACAGGGACTTCTTGTACCAACTCATTGGCACGATTGTGGAGAAGATGGCACTAGACACAGATAGATGAAGGACTGGGAGCCAGGCTAGTACATAGGGAGCTTGTACCGGTGGTGACAAGTGTGATGCTCAGCCTCACCAAAGACAGCAGTGTCGAAAGCGGCAGTTCTCTGACAAAGGCAGATGTCAGAATCTCCCGGGAGTCCTATTAGAACACGGTTTCTTGGGCTCCAGCCCCAGAATCTGACTCAGTTTGTCTACTTGCACTTCTGATGAGGCCCCACTTGGCAGTGATGCTGCTGGTTTAGGGACGGGCCTTTGGAAATCTCAGTTGTGTATCACGCCTGTGAGTATTACAGCTTCAGCATCCCTTGCTACCAGCGCCCATAGTCTCAGAGGAGCTACCGTCCATGCTGTGGACTGAGGCTGTCCTGCTGAAGAGCAGGGCTGCCCAGACACAGTACTTGAACCCCGATCTGTCTCTCTGCAGAAGGACTACACTCAACTCTCAGTGGCCTCGGGTCTTCATTCAACTGTATTTATGGAGTGTTTGATAAAACCTGCCTGTATATAGCACTGTGGAGTTCATGAAGCAATTTCAAATACATCTCCTCATTTCTTACGCACAAAAGCCTGTGAAGTAGGTCAAGTATTAATATCAGCTGCTTTTACAAGGGAAAGGTAATTACAGAAAGAAAGGGAGGCTGAGTGCGAAAGGCACCTAGTTCTAGACAGCATGGCTAGTGGGTGGTGAGCCCGCCTGGCCTGTGAGCCCACACCACGCTTTCCTGCCACCTCCCTGAGGCTCCCGGTGGGCCCCGCGGCCAGGGTGCAGCAGGCAGAAAGAAGGTGTAGACGCCATGTGTGCAGCTGCCCTTCCACAGGGAGGTGAGCTGCTGATAGGAGACAGTTCCAGAATCATCACAGGAGAGTGTGGCTTTATACTCTGTGTGCCAACAAAGAGAGCTCTCATTCCCACACTGAGCCCTGTAGCACAGAGTGGGGCAGCCCGAGCCAGGGGAAGCAAGGGGAGACCAGCCTGTGCAGGACCAGCCCCGGGAGGAAAGCAGTCTGCTCTGCTGCAGAGAGGCTGGTGGGAGAGTGAGGAAGGGAGACCGCCCGCCCTGCAGCCAGGAGGAATGAGGTAGGAGGGCGGAAGGGAGGGCCCCGGAGGATTGTCAGCCCGGGCCAGGCCAGGTTCCTGGGGCTGGACCTGACCTTTTTCCTTCTCCAACCACCCAAGGCATGGAGAGCATTTGCCCATCTCAGGCCCTCCCAGCCCTGAGCCGCTCTTAGGGAGACCCCGCCATCATTTCAATTGCTCTGATTAGAGGAGCAAAAACAAGCCAGGTGTTACCAGGAAATGGTCTAATTAGCACTTACTGCTGACGATTCTTTTTTTCCCCCCCCTGTTTTAAACCCTGGACATTTTTTATTCACTAATCATCTCTCAGTTCAACCAGCGCGGAGCTGCACGCGATTTACCTTTTGATGTTCGGAGATGAGAACTCTTGAATTTCAAAGAGCCGGCAGGGATTTGGGGGGAATCGAATGCAGAAGCTACAGTCATAATCAAACCTCATTAGAGGTTATTCTTCGAGCAGGTTTTTTCTCTGCCTCCCTCTCCCCTCCAGCTCTGATTAGAGGGCTGGGCTGGGTTTGTTGTGTTTTCTTTGGGACAATCATGGTGAGCGATCTCCTCCTACCACCCTGGTGGATGCTGCAGCCTTTTCCCCCTCTGTATCCCCCCCAGACACTGGCAGCAGGTTTGGGGCTTTGTATTGGGGTTGCTCTCCGCCATACACCAGTTGCCATGGTGAGAATTAAGGCTTCATAAATAAAGGTAGCTTCAGGCAAAGTTCCCTTGCAGGAGGGTCTGCACCCTGCTTAGAAAGGGGGCTGCACCACACACAGGCCCAAAGCAGGCCTCAGGGGATTGATGCTCATGATGCCTCCCCAGCATTCATCCTGAATGTCTTTTCCAGTACACACGCAGTTCCGGGGGTCCTGCAGTGACAGGTGCAGTCCAGGAGTGTTTTTCAGAATCCACACATTTTGGGGGCATGCAGAACTGGGGTATAGTCATCGCAGTTGGCATTGAGGCCCACAGTTAATACAGAAACCTAGCTTTGCCCCTAGAGATTCACAGCACAGGACAGGAGTGGGGTGGGGGGAAGTAGCCAGAGTCAGTTCAATTTAAAAAATCATTAATGATGCACAAAATGGTAATAATTGCTACTATTTATCATCACTTAGTGCCAGATGTTATGCTAAATACCTTATATACATTTTCTCCTTTTAGTTCTCTCAATGGCCCTGTGAAGTAGATACTCCTATAATTAATCCCACTGAAGCAACTTGCCCAAGTTTACACGGCTAGTAGCAAGTAGATACTGGACCACAAGCGTTCAGAGAGTAGAGCTCACTTCTCCTGAGCTCCTCATTCTGTGCCCAGTGCCAAGCATATAGCGTGTGCACTAAATGTCCCACAGGGTATGGTTCTGGGCCAAGGCACTGTGCTAGATCTCGGTGATACAGGGAGAACTTGATCAGGATCACCATCTAGAAGGGACAGGTGGCGGGAGGAAACCAACCGCCAGAATCAGAAAGTGATAAGATCCATAGGAAGCTTCAGGTGCAAACTGCTAAGGGATCCCAGAGGAGGAAGCAATTCATTCTCACTGAGTAGACTGGAGCATGGTTAGAGAGGAAGCGACATTTGAACTGGCCCTTGTGGGCAGTGTAGGGCCATTCAGTCCAGAGAAGAGGCTCTCAGTTATGAATTAGCAGGAAGGATATGTGCAGATGCTGCCTTTGCATGTGGGGCACATGGGGACGGGGGCCACCGTCAACTGGTAGGAAGCTACGGGGAGCATGCCTCTGAGGGCTTGGAGTACAGAGCGGGGAGCCGTGGTGGAGCTCTGTCAATTTATTTGCACTACTGAGCATCTGGAGATTCAATCTAGGTCTCCAAGGAGGCCTGGGACTGGGAGATGCAGGAGCAGGTCACCGCTGCTGCAGTAAACCAGAAAGAAGAGGGTGACCCAGGGCAGAGGTATGGGAGGTGAAAGGGACTGAGTGACATTTATTTTCAAATGGAGCCAGCCAGGCTCATTCACTAGTTTGATGTGGGGTTTCAGGAGGGAAAGGGTTGCTGGGAATGATGCCCTGATTTCTGTCCCAGGAGTTCGGGACAGGATGTTAGCCTTGTCTAAGGCAGGAGGGCACAGCTACATCCTGCTGCCTCGCTGGTGAGCAGTGTGACGTGACAGGTTCTCTGGTGGCTCTGAGCCTTTACTCCACCAGTACGATGATGTCTGTTTAAGACTCAGGTTAATACATACATTTTGCCATTGGAAGCCATAATGATTTTTTCTTTCCCTTTCACAGTGTATTAAACCGAACCCCTATGCATTTGATCCAGGAAATCATATTAGTGGATGATTTCAGCAATGACCGTAAGTAATAATATCACTCACTAGCTATGTAAGCACAAATGCCTGGTCCCAGCCAATGCACAAGAGGAAGAGCAAAGCCCACTGATTCTCTGAGGATGGGGAAAAGCTGCGGTTGGTAATGGGCATGGAAGATGAGAGTCCATGCCTGGGCTGAAGGAGCTAAATCCTCCACTTCAGAAGCAATTTCTAGGATTCTGTGCTGTCAGCTTTTGAGGACCTAGCTAGCTAAATCATTGGGTTGGCTTGTATACGAGTGTGCCTGTGAGTGGGTGTGCATACACAGTGTGCACATACGTTTGTGTGCACTGAGTATGCGACATGCGTATGGACATGTGCCCTGCACCCCCAGCCTATATTCCTGTACATGGGAAGAGACACCAAACTTTCAGAGTATCAACATTGGGACCCAGCGCCCAAAAGCTGTGGCCATCACTAGAGACTTTTGATTCTCGTGCTGCATTAGCCTGCCAGTCTAACCTGAGGCTATCAGCCCTCTTCTCTGCATTCCCGGGGAGTCTGGCTGGGCCCTGACTTTGGAATCCACCATAGTCTATCCCATCACCTGGCCGTGATACCATGAGCAGCTGCCTTTCAGTCTCCCAGTGCTGACCATCATGTCCTACCTCCTCCCGCTCTTAGCCATCCTTCACAGGAGCTTGGTTCCACCCATATTCATACCCCAGATCCACTTTTGCCAAGAACACGCTGCATTGTCCGTCATCAGTGTGCTGAGTTTGAAAGGCGCAATAATTATAGAAGCATGTTGGGATTTAAGTGTCGGCAGTCGGACATTTCCTCCGAGAGCCATTGTCCCAGCAGCCTGGGTGCAGTTCAGTGCAGTCAGCCTCACCCAGGCAGAACCGCATCTTCCCAGAGAGGAGCCAGGGGAAATGGGATGGCCACTGGGGACAGCTCCAAGTCCCAGGAGAGTGGAGACACTCACATCAGCTCAGATGCCGGGAGCTGCTGTGGAAACACCGGAAACCCACCCTTGTGACTTGGAACCTCGGAGAGTAATGCAGAAGTGACTGTGTGTGAGGCTAAGGGTAATCAGATCTGGATCCCCAGTTCCAGAACTCAGTGATCTGCTTCTCCTTCCCCAGTGAGAAACAGCATGAAGGAGGGGAGAGCTGGGGGGTAGCCTGGCACTGAGGCAGGAAATGCTTTAGGATTCTTATGGGTAGAATAGCCTAGTGCTCAGTGCCTGGCCTCAGGAGCTAGACTGTCTAGGCTCCAATCCTAGACCTAGAATTTACTCATTGGCCATGAGCCTTGAGTGAATAACTAGCCCCGTGTTCAGCAACTTCCTTGTCTATAAAATAAAGATGGTTGTAATGGTACGTGGTCTATAAGGGGACTTACTATGCTAACACACTTAGGGTACTTAGACGGGACCTCACCCAGAGGAAGCCATGCAAGTCTCCTCTGTTGTCTGTTAGGAGTCCAGAGCTTGCAGAGAGGCTAGTCAGTAAACAAATGAAGCAGAGCTGGTGGGGCTAGTGTGGAGTCCACAGCTGAGGAAGTGATGGGGCAGTAGGCAAGCTCAAGGTGAGGTGCCTAGGAAGACGTCTCTCACCTGCCATGGCACAGTGTCCCGTGCCATCTTTTCTTTCCATTAACAGCTCTTTGCAGAGCAGCTGGCCAGTCCTTTCACAGAGACAGCCTCCATGAGCTGAAAGCAAAGTCCCAAATCTCTCTCTTCCATTTTTGGCCTTCCACCAGTTTTGACCAGACCCACTGAAATGAACAGGGCTCTGATCTTATCATTTAATGGTCAAAGGAGGAATGTACCCGGGTGACTGGGCCAAGATTTCAGACTTGTAAAGTTTTCAAGCAGGTATACAAATGATCCTGGAGACCAGTCTGCTCCCAGGAGGCCCAGTTGGGCTTTGTCCTCAGTGAGCCACTTTGTGTAACAAGCAGCAGTGATTGGCAGCGCCTCCCATAGCCCAGGAGCTCCCTGGAGTTGGGACCAGGCTGTGGCTGTGCAGTTAGGAGCGGGAACAGCGAGCAAGGCTACCCTCCCAATCCTTCAGGTTCACCTGCATGCATTTGCAGCCCTGGGCTCTCACTGGTGTAAACTTTGTCTTTGCAGCTGATGACTGCAAGCAGCTCGTCAAACTGCCCAAAGTGAAGTGCTTACGCAACAGTGAGCGGCAAGGTAGGTCTGTGCTGCCCTCAGGTCTCAGTGTGAGCCTGGGGAGGAGGGTTGGGAGGTGGCTGGTGTCTATTTGGGGAGTGCTGGGTGGCCCCTCTGTGCTCTTACCACACCATGGACGGACAGTGGTTGCTTGTCCTTGACACAGGTCTGGTCCGGTCCCGGATGCGGGGTGCTGACATTGCCCAGGGTGCCACTCTGACATTCCTGGACAGCCACTGTGAGGTGAACAGGGACTGGCTGCAGCCACTGTTGCACAGGGTCAAAGAGGTGAGTGGGACTGAGGAGCAGAGCTGAATTTCCCACCTCCATTTCTCCGGAGGCCGGGGCAGGACACTGCTGTTTCCACCTCACAAATGAAGGAACTAGGGCGGACCACCTTGCCCCAAGTCACACAGTCAGAGCAGGGTGTTTGACCATAGTGTCAGCCCCATCAGGCCCACACTTTGGGTCACCAACAGCAAGATGTAATGCTCTCAGTTTCCTGGGCAGGAGACAGCAGCAGATTCCAGAAAGGAAGCCCTCATGAATGTCTTTGGTAGGAAAGAGACAGCAGAATCAGCCATGCCTCACACTCAAGTCCTGAGGCTTCTGTCTTCCTCCCACCTGCTGTCACTCTTAGCCAAGGTCCTGAGCCTCAGGGCTGAGAGACCTGAAATTCCTTGCCCCTGTTCGCCCTTCCATTGCAATGGAATTCTGTATGTCTGTCACTTCTCTGGGAAGTGAAAGACATAGTTTTCCCCTTACAATTGTATCTTCTAACAAGTCCACTCACTGTCCTGGTGATCCACAGAACACATATTATAGACCAGTGGTGGCGAACCTATGGCACACATGTTATTTGTTTTTAAAGTAAAACCTCTGCATTGAGGCTTAATTGCACTGTTGGCATCTTGGGATAAATAAGTGGGTTTGGGCTGCAGTTTGGGCACTTGTCTCTAAAAGGTTTGCCATCACTGTTATAGGCACTGGTGTTTGTGCTTTTTGTCTTGTTTCTGGAACTTTAGAGGAACCACTGAAGTGTGAATGAGGTATTTGTAACATACAGATGAGGAAACAGTTTCAGGACTATTATGTAATTTGGCCGTATTCCTTGGCTGGTACCTCCAATGCCAGATCCTTGGGCATTGCTAGCATGCCAGCACTGTGGCTTCTTGCTCTTTGTGAGAGCACCTAGACTCCTGCCTGCATAATGACAGTGCCAGGGGGTGAAAGAACCCAGTGCTCCAGAGAGAGACAGAAAGTCTTCCCAGTGTTCAGTGTAGTGAGCCAGTCTTGGCAGATATACTGAGCTCCACGCATGGTCCTAGATGGTCAGTCCCATCAGTGACCACTTTTCTGAGCTTGGGAGGGGTCATCGTCTTTGCGATGTTTAGAAAAATTCTTCAATTGACGGCGTATAGGTGAAGAGTTCTGGGTTAAGAAATACTGAGTTATGAACAGAGTGGGAGCTTCTTCTGATACCGAGGCTTTTCCAATGCACCCCCTCCTCTACCCCTTCCTCAACATGCTTGTCCAGTCTCCGAAGCCTTCCCCGGCTCAAGCTCCAGCACAGCAGTGCCACTGCCTGTTCTGAATGTGCTCCTGGCATCCCCATTGCTCTCTATATGACCAAGCCCTTCCGGTCCCTGGATGCCCTTCCCTCCTCTTGCTCCTCAGGGCTTTGCTCACATCTTGCAGAACTGGCAAGGGTCACTCCAGGCAGTAATTGCTGTCTCCCTCCCTCCACATGTCCTCTTAGTTCTTCTTTCCCCTAACATGCCAAACCCAGTGGGGTGCCAGTCTCCTCCTGTGGCCACTCCAGCTACTGGACAGTAGGTGCTCAGGGTATCTGGACAGGTTAATAAGAAACCAGATGTGAGGGGGTGGTAATAGTGGGAATTAGGAGGAAAGCAGGCTCATTTCCTGTCCCTAAACTAATTAGCAACGTTTACTGAGCAGTTGTTTGGAGCAGAGTCCCGAGTGCTGGAACGGGCTGTGTCAAAGGAATTCACACCTCCTCAGGAAGTCCTCCCTACTGTTCCTGGTGTACTGGCCTTCACTGTTTTGCAAGTGACTTCCAGGGAAGGAGGTGACCACAAAGAGAAGAGATGTGCAAACTCCAGTAACAAGGAAGGTCCCTGTGAGGAATAAATACGGAAAACATTTGTGCTAGCTCCCACATAGTGCCGTGAGGAAGCCCACTTTCTTCCTGGCAAGGTCTTTATGCTTGTGAATTGCTGACAACAGCTCAGGGCCAGTGAAGTCATCCTGCCACTGCTGATGCCTGGAGCTAAGAAGAAACTGGAGTGTGTGAACAACTGAAGGTTAAGGCAGCAGAATACAAGCAAGGTTAGGGTGCCTGGCTGGGGTGGGGTTGGAATCAGCATCTCTGATCATGAGAGTTTTATACAAAAGAGGGGAGGTGCTGCCTACTTAAACTAAGATCAGATGAAAAGAAGCAGATTTGAAGCCCAGGAATAGAGTATAATAGAAAGCTTCTTGTGAGACCAGGGAAGAAAAGGCTGGGACCTCTCACTTTCCACTATCAAACCCAGTCAGTATAGACATTTTGGAAATTACAGTGGTACCTCAGCTCATGAACATTTCTGTTTGTGAACAATTTGGTTTGCAAACAAAAGCATTTGGCAAAACTTTGTTTTTGTTTGCAAATTTTACATCAGATGCAAATACAACTGCAGCTATCTTTCCTGCACAAACACAAATGTGGCCACCTTTTCCAAAATCGTGGAACAAATTAAGTTTCTCATTTGAGGTACCACTGTATAACAGAATGAAAACTCATCAGCCAACATTCTTTCACATGATGGATATCCACTGTTACTAGGATCTTTTTCTCTTTGCAAAAGTGTCTTTATATATAGTTGCAGTTATACTGTACTTACACAGTCTGTATCCTGCTTTTTCCTGTTACACATAGGCATTTTCTAGGCAGTGTCTTTAAGGTAGTTTGGCCTTTACCCAGAATGGCAGGGTGTGCTGAGCAGCCAGAAAGTTCATCTCCAAGGACAAAATGAGGGGCTGGGCTCCAAGGCACGAGGCAGTGACCACACTGCTGTCCCCTCCTGGCTCTGCCTGCCCATCCCACTGGCCAGCTTGCTGCTCGTCAGCAAGAGCTGAAGATGATGGAGCCGGGGCTCTCAAGAGAGGCTGGGTCCACTGCGCTGGGTGTGATCCGGGCTCAGACCCGAGTCCAGAGGCCCTGCATTGAGCACTGTGTCCAGGCACTGCGGGAGGCACCCATTATAGCAGTGAGCCCAGCCATCGTAGATATGTGTGTGAGTGTTATACAATACACAAAGCAAAATTTACCATTTTAACCATTTCAAAGTGAACAATTCAATGATTTTAGTATGTTCACAGTGACTTAGTATGTTCACCAAAATCTAATTGTAAAACATTTTCATCCCCTTAAAAGGAAACCTCACACCCAGCAGCGTTCTTCCTTCTCCTCCGTTCCCCTGACAGATACTAATCTACTTTCTGTCTGTGGTTTTGCCTATTCTGTACATTTCATATAAACGGAGTCATCCGACATGCGGCCTATTGACTCTGGCTTCTTCCATTTAACGTGTACGTATTTGAGCTTCATCTGCACCGTAGCTTGTATCAGTATTCCTTCATGGCTTAATAACATTCTGTGGGGTGTATAGACCGCATTTTGCTTCCACATCCATCGATGGACTTTTAGGTTGCTTCCACCTTTACCTTCCGGTGTAAGTTTTCTTGGGGGTGCCTGTTTTCAGTTCTTTAGGATATGTGTACAAAGGAGTAGAACCGCTGGGTCACATGGGATTTGATGTGTCACCCACGGGGATACCTCCTGTCCCAGGATGACCTGTCCTAGCAGGATGTGTTGAGGGAGGCTTGACTTCCTGCAACAACCTTAATGAGCCTATGAAGTCCTTCTCATCCCAGGGGCTCTGAGTCCGTCTCAGAGGCCTCCCACCAAGATATCTTGGTTCTGGATGCGAAGCCAGCCTTACTTGCTGGTCAGGCAAAGTCTTCATCGGTGCCCCGAAGATAAGGGCTGCCTTTTTGCCCCAAACACTCCTCCTCGGGAGTCACTCAGCCCCAAGTCTGAACTCAGCTCACAAGTTAGGCTCCTTGCTCACCACTGCTGTTTGAACTGAAGCTTTCCTAGCCAAGAGCTTCACTAGGCAAAGCCCAGAACCAGGTCAGGCTCTGCCCGTCACAGAGGCCTTTGAGTGGTGCAGAGGCTTCCCTGAGCCCCTGCCCCTCTATTCTCTGGAACAGCCCCCCGAGACTCCCTGGGGGGTGGCAGGGAGTATGAGTGCATCTCTGTGTCTTGTCTCAGTGCAAAATGTGATTTGATCTTGTGAGTGGAAGTGGAAATTTTAAGCTGTAATTGGAGATTGGGATTTTCAAAAATAGAAAGAGATAAGAAGGAAGCCAGGCTTGAGCTGTCCTGAACCATCATCCTCAGCTGGTGTTTTCCACATTGAAAACCTCCCTAATTTCCCTCCTCTTCCCTCAGTTACATCATGATGCTGGAAACAACCACCGAGTTAGGTTCCTTCTGTTTTATTTTTTTTTGTATCATAGCCTTCTCTTCTCCCCCTTCTTCTGCGTATTTCTTTAGCAGGAAAGATTTTAAGAAATCCTAACCTCTAGCAGATCGATCATAGCTCGCAAGGACTTCTGTGCCTTACTTGTGTGCTCTCCTAGCTTCTTCCTCACATGAACCCTGTTTAAAGGCAGGGTCATTTTGAAAATAATAATTTATCTTCCCTTTATAGATGGGAAAGGGGAGTCCCTCAGAGGGTGCTAGTTTGCTAAGGTCACATGTATTCTGGCAGAAGCAGAATAGAAACCCAGGTGTCCTATCAACTTGTCCCGCCCCACCGAGTCACCCCCCAACCCCGTGAGAGCCCCCCTGCACCGTTTCCCTCCCCTCTCCTCCCTGCAGGCCACCTGGCTGTGTCTGCCTCCGAAATGGGAGTCATTGACTCTCTGTCCACCTTCCCTAGACTCTGAAGTCTCACTCATCTTCGTGTCCTCACAGTCCCTAAATTGCAGTAGATTACTGCGGGTGCCCCTAGAAGTCTCAGGTTGCCCGTCCGTGTGGTTTAATTATGTGAATCAGTGAAGAAACAAGAGGTATGGCAGCCGAAGTGATTGATGGCTACAGCCTCTGTTATTGCTCCCTAGTAAGGGAGGGAGAGGACCTTGGAGCTGCTTGGGGGAGGTGGGAAGATGGTGGAATTCAGGATCTGTCAGGGATCCCACGGCTGTCTGACTGGGCCTAGAGGTGACCTGGCTTTCAAGATACAGCCCCTGGGACACGCGGGCCAGGTCTCTGGCAGGTCTGTGTACTGGGAGCTCCTTACCCCTGAGCCTCCGGGAAGGCCACCCTGTTTAGTGCAATGACCCAGACACATGCAGCCAGGGACCCACAGCATCCTGAGAGGGAGTTCAGAGGATGGCTGCTGCAGAGGGTGGAAAAGCCTCCCTGCCTGCCTCCCTGAGTCCTGCTGGCTTCCCCAGGCTGCCTTCTTTTAGCCAGCAGTGCCTGAGCATCTCCTATCCACAAGGCTCTGGGCTGGGGCTGAGAGGTACAACAGTTGAGCAGATGCCCACTGATGTGGGGCGCTCGGAGAGCTCTGTCCTGGCTTTGGTGGCTCCTTCAGTCCTTTTTAATGGTCGTGACTCCTCATGGTCCTTGACCCCAAACAGCCCTCCCTGCCTGGCTGTGACAGCAATCATAGCACAGAAGAGACTTCAGGACTGGCAGGAGGCTGCCCTGGAACCTGGCACAACCCCAGAGGAAGAGCCCATGGGTGGTTTCTGGGAAGCCCACGGCCCAAGTGAGGAGCTAGAATTTTACCTTGCATTTTTATTTTTCAGATATCGAGGAAAGATTTTAAAAAAACATCCTAACTAAGCAGGATTATAGTTTGAGGATCTCAAGGACCACCCTCGGGCTCTGTAGCTTGCTTGTAATTTGTAATAAATCGGCAAGTCTGATATGGAGTATTTATTACAGTATGAAGGTCAACAGAAGGACTTGTTGCAACTGCAGCAGCCCCAAAACTCGCTGTCAGACCTATGAAGATGTCTCCGAACTTGAGAACATTTCAGAATCCAAGGGACAAGAGCATCTTTGGGGGTGTGTTTGTGTATGCTTGTATGTGGCCGCAGCAGACCAGACACATCCTGACAGTGGCCCCAGATGAGCCCCACAGGGACCGCTGCAGCTGGGCAGGTGCAGCGTTGACAGTGATCGAAGCGTCTGTGACCCCCCGCAAAGGGAGTAGCACCGAACTGACATGAGCCTTGCGTCTCCACACGGGCCTGTTGGCTTTCAGAGGCTCCTTGTTACTGTCAGAGTCACGTGTGGGAGGCTCGGGACAAATTAAGTCTGTGAACTTAGAATCAGGCACTCAGTGAATCTGGAGCTTAAAATAAAAAGACAACCTCATTTAGGGGAAAGATTGAGCCAGGAAATTAAATGGCTTCAAGGAGAAGCAGAGGTTCTTGCCTGTGTTAGCTGAAGGATAGTTGTACAGAGAGTGGAAAAGCCGTCTTGCCGGTTTCCCAGGCTGCTTGCTTCCCTGTGACCTACCCTCGAGTCTCCCAGGCCACCACCCTCAGTCAGGTTATGGTTCACCGCAATGGGAAACTTGAAAAAAACATAATGCCTGTAAGCCCCAGGACCTGGCGACTTCGCTTGCATGTTTTGAAAGCCCTCCCTGGATGGTTTCCATGCCTGTAGATGGGTGGCTTGGGGAAAGCGGTGAGCGGTGATCCTGGAGAGTAAGATGCAAGCCTGGTTTTTCAAATTTTTTAATTTTTTTAATTGATGCAAAAATTGTACACATTCATGGGCTACTGAATGGTATTTTGATCCATGTATGCAATGCATAATGATCAAATCGGGGTAATTAGTATTTCTTTCACCTGAAGCATGAATCATTTCTCTGTGTTGGAAACATTCAAAATCTTGTCTTCTAGCTATTCTGCAATAAACTATTATAAACTGTATTTACCCTACTGTGCTATGGAACACTAAAGGTGATTCATTCATTCTTTCTTTCTTTCTTTCTTTTTTTTTTTGTTGTTGTTGTTGTTGAATTTTGGAACAAGGTCTTGCTAAGTTGCCAGAGCTAGCCTTAAATTTGTGATCACCACTGTGCCTGGCCTCGCTCTTCTTTTTTACTGTGTCTGGGTACCCATTATGCGTCTCTCTCCTTCCTCTCTCCCTACCCTTCCCGTGACCTCTGTTCCACTCAGATGGCTCTGCTTGTTCTCACTCATAGGTGGAAGCAGGCTGGGTTGTGGTGGTCTCGGGTGCCATCTGAAGGAATCTGTGCCTGCCTTTAGAGGAGATTCCAGGTCTCATCAGTCGCGTGGCACAGCTGGGTTGTGTATGAGAGAGGCAGCCTCGGCAGCTACAGGAAGAACGAAGGGAAAGAGGATGAACAGGGTGGGGAGGAACTTGAGAGCCCACTGCTGTATTCCACACAGGAGGGTATGGAACGGAGGCAGGGTGAATTCAAAGCGCCGTTTTAGAGTCGGCACCAGCAGGAGTTTAATCTGGTTGGAGGGCAGGGTAAGGCTTAATTTGGAGCTAGTGGAGGGGATTATGTGATGATCTCTTAACAGAGATGAGGGATTTAGGGAAAGGAGCACGTGTGGGAGAAGACAAACTGCCATTCGAAGGCTGAGTGGTTGCAGCTGAGGGTGGCCTGTGCATGCAGGATCAAGGCTGGGATCCCCTACTGTTCCCTACCCTTCTTGTGTGGCCCAGCAATCAAGGACATGTTTGTGGCATTCAAGCATCAGACCAGAGAGGTCGCGTGTCCAGTGCCCCATTCTGTAGATGCTGAAATAGAGATGCAGAAAGCACTTGCTGAAGGTCATAAGCCCTGTCTGGCCTGCCCAGGGCAAGGCCCTACCAAGCTTTCTGACCCGCTGCTGAGTCGGTCCCCTTGGCAGAGCTCGGGGCCTTTGTTTTGCAGGACTATACGCGGGTGGTGTGCCCTGTGATTGACATCATCAACCTGGACACTTTCACCTACATCGAGTCAGCCTCCGAGCTCAGAGGGGGTGAGTGGGCTCCTGCCTTGCCTGTTAATCTCTTCTTCTCCTTAGTTCATTAACTGGGGGGAGGTGAAGGAAAACCTCTTGGTGTTTTGTCTGGAACATCCAGCCCTGCACCTGTAGTAGAACTCACTCCAGACTGGCGCCCAGAGCTCAGCTCTAAGAAAGGGCTCACCCCAGGGCCTGAGGGTGTGACAGAGCAAGGATTCCCCTGAGTACGCGGGACCACGTTGGTTCTGCACCTCCCCGTTGGCATCGACCTCTCCTCGAGACCCTCCCCCCGCAGCTCCCTGCCTGGAACCCAGCTCTGCCCCCACCCCAAGACAGACTTTCGGGTGACCTTGAGACCTCAAAGCCCCCCTCCTACTTTCCTGAGACTCCGTACTGAGGACCGCATTCTGTAACTGTCCATCTTGTCACCCTGGGGCCCCAGACTGTGCTGTTCTCCTCCGCCCTTTGTTCCCATCTCTGTGCCGCAGAGCCGCTTCAGCAAGGCAGGAGAGGGTAGAGCAAGAGAAGGAAGCTAGGAGGGAATTTTGGCAGCCTGCTGTTGACCAGCATGGGAGAAATCTGTCTTCCCAGGGACCTGAGCATGTTTGTGAGTTTCTGAAGAGGGAGCTTTTCAGGTGCCTTGAGAGACCAAATGGAGTGGGTTGATGCCATGATTTACAGGGTTTGACTGGAGCCTTCACTTCCGGTGGGAGCAGCTCTCCCCAGAGCAGAAGGCTCGGCGCCTGGACCCCACGGAGCCCATCAGGTGAGTAGGAAGGGTTGGCACAGGTGAGCCGGGCCAGGGTAATACCACTGGTTCTTCCCTCTGCCCCATGGTACAGGGACAGGTCCACATGAGATGCTGAAAGGAATATGTGGAGACAGCCCTGCAGCAGCCTACTCTACTTCTGCTCTTATCTCAGGAGGTTTCCATCTTCATGGTGGTTTTAATCTAGGCAGATAGGACCCTCGGGGAGACCTGTGCTGAGGAGGGTGCCCTGCATTGGCCACCCTCACATAGGCCGTGATGGCTTGTGTTTCCTGCTAACAGTGGAGCGTTAAGAGCGTAACTTAGGCTCAAGGACCCCGTGTCTTGGCTTTCACGATTCACCCTGAGAAGGCTGCAAGCCTGTGAGTGGAGGCTGATATCAAGGCACTGCCCGTGCTGTGTGTAATCAGGATGCCTGCTCCAGTCTGTGTGAGAACACAGTGGCATGTGAGCTCTGAAGTGCCAGCATCATGCTGTGGGCGGCTGACTTCATCCACAGGGGCTCTTTCTGGTTCCACTGGGACCCACAGCACACGCTGGCAAGCTGTCTGCCTGGGCTCAGGCCTCATCTGAGGGCTCGACATAGAGTGAAGCATAGTGGTCCTGTGGGGAGACCACCCTCAACATCAAGTGTGTGGCTGTGAGGTCCTGTCTAAGACTGAATGCGAACATGTCCCAGGCTTCAGGCTAAAATAAGTCTGCCTTGGGTGGGAAGATAAAAAGTGCATGAAGAACTACAGAGAAGGCCCCAGGGTTGGAATTTCTCCATTCGGTGGCTTAAGACTGCCCAGAATTATTCGAGGACATTTATTTGTGTCTCTGTTACCTGACACATAATAACTGTTGAATTACATTCATTGAATTGACTAAGTCAAACTGAGGACTGAGGGAGCTGTGAAGAGTTGAATGACTATGTTCCAAACAGGTAGGTGGGTAGGAACTCAGAACTCTACTGTAGACTAGGACTGTGTCTCAAATACCTACGGGCACCTTGTCCCTCCTGCAACTTTTGGTGCCAAGAGAGAGACTGGAGCCAGACGGCACTCTGGACTTTATTACTAAAGGAAAGGAGATACTTCTTACCAGGCCGAGCATCATGCAGTGCACATCAGCTCCTCAGAGGTAGTGCATGAGGCAAGTATGACATGAGGAAAGCATTACCTGTCTAGGGACCCTACTGGAGTGGCTCAAGTCAAGGGCAAAGCTGATGCCACAGCTGCCTGGGTTTTTCTGTTCTTGTTCTAGTTAGAGGTGTTTCAAGGTAGTTCTTCTTCTTGTATAGTGCCTCGGCTTATCAGAGAGGAGTGTTTCCCAGGATTAGACCAGTGCTCAGGGAGCAGCAGGCTGTTGTAGGAAAGGTAGACCTGAGCCCTGAGTGCCCACAACCTCCCCAGCCATTGATTTTACTGATACACGTCCTTACACTTATGGGCTTATTTGCTTGGATTCTGCTACTCTTCTCTACCTTCCTTTCTTTCCAAACAGTTTCTCTGGCATCTGTCTCAGTAATCAAGAGCCAGGGGAGGTTAGGGATGGGGCACCCCAAGAAGAAAATGAAGATGAGAGCGTATGAGTTTGCCTTGGCTGCAGTAACAAGTACTTCATACTGAGTGGCTTAAATAGTTGAGAACCTGTCTCACAGTTACAGAGGCCGGAAGTCTAAGACAGAGCTGTTGGCAGGGGTGGCGCCTTCTGAAGGAGGGTATTCCACACCTTTCTCTTCAGCTTGCGGATGTCTTTTCTCTGTGTTTCCACATCGTCATCTTACTGTAATCTTCCCTTTCTTCTAAAAACCCCAGTCATACTGGATTAGGCTCCACTCTAACGGTCTCATTTTAACTTGGTCACCAAATAAGGTCACATTCTAAAGTACTGGGGGCTAGAGATACCCCTTTGGGGAAAGGAGACATAATTCAACCCATGAGGGAGGGGCAAAGCGGGAAGACAAGAGTGAGCCTGGTCTCAGGCCGGCAGGTGCTGCCCCAGCCCTTGTCTGTCTTGTCATGGCCACACTGCCCTGGCTCCCAGTTAGGGAGTACCCCCTGGGCAGGGCCTGGGGAGCAAGCTGATGGGGAATCGCGGGAAGGGCGCCTGTCTACAAAGTTAGGAGATTTACAAGCAGAGGACAAAACCTTGTTTTAGGTAATTGAAATATATATTGGCCCTTCTGAAGAGGAACAGAGATGGGGTGGTGGCATTGAGTTCTGGACTCCCAGGGTGTCCCAGAGTTTGGGTGTTTCTCCCTCCTATAACAGACTCCCCTGACTTTTCCTTCCAAATGTGCAGAACTCCGATCATCGCCGGAGGGCTCTTTGTGATTGACAAAGCTTGGTTCGATTACCTGGGGAAATACGACATGGACATGGACATCTGGGGTGGGGAGAACTTTGGTGAGTCCTCATTCTATATATCCTTGCCTATCCCGTTCTATATGTTCTGGGGGCTGGGGCAGGGCTCACTGTGTCCTTGAGCCCAGCTGGCAGCTGAACAGAGCCACATATACCTGGATGTGGCCCTGGGAGACACCGAGTGAGCCACTCCTGTGGGGAAGGCTGGGTGCAGTGCCGGAGCAGTGGAGTGGGAGGGTAGCAGTGATAAAAGCATTTCTTCACGGGACCTGGTGGATGCTGAAGACCCAGGCAGAAATACAGCCAGGCTTACTTGGGGAAAAGATAAGATACAAAAGCTAGAAGGGAAAAATCAAGGAAAAGCCCCAAGTCCAAGGGGCCAAGGGCCAGCTGGAACGAGGAGTGCTGGACTAGGGGATTTGGAATTGGAAGGAACCTGGGGAGAAGGAGAAGGAGAAACAGGAAGGACACTGGCATTCCTTAACATCTATGAACACCCCTTGGCTGCTCTGATTGTAGTACACAGCACTAGACTGATGGGGAGTCTGGGTCGTTGCCACAGAAACCCTGGAGGGATCTTGCCCTTACCATTTAGGCAGAGAGGAAGAGGGGAATGAAAGAGGATGGCCACTCAGCCCTGAACTGTCCACACAGATGGCTAGGTCTGGCCATGCTGGTGTAGAGCTGAGGTTTGCAGCTGCAGGAGAAGCAGCAGCCAGAAAGCCCCCATGCATCTAACTGGTAACACTAAGTGCCCCCTTTTTCCCCATGTGTTGAAAGCATAACTTCAAGCTAGGCATGGGAGTGCACCTGTAACTCCCTGTAATCTCAGTATTCTGGGAAGTAGAGGCAGGAGGTTTGTGAGTTTGAGTACAGCCTTAACAAATGAGTAACTTAGCAAAAACCCTGTCTAGTAATAAAAACGAGTTAGGGATATAGCTCAGTGTGAAGGCTCTCGGTTCAATTCCCAGTACCGCAGAAGAAGAAAAACAAAAGGTTTCACTTTGGAATAAAGAGCCGGAGGCCTCCTTCTTGAAGTGGCTGTAAAACCAAGTGAGGAAAGTACATGAAAGCCCTGGCACCGGGTGGGCATGATGAAGTTGAGTTTCCCTCCAGCAGGTGAGACCTACGAGATGCAGGAGGAGAGAGCCATGGTGGTTTTGTTTGTGGCCGTCTCCAGCCCTCAGTGTACACAGTGCCTGCTACGCAGGAGGCGCACAGTAACAGCTGAATGAACAAGTGGCAGTGGAGTGAGGGAGAGGCCCTGCATGCCAGAGCCCTTTCCCGCTCAGCCAAGGCGAACACATCAGCGTGGGCTCTGGGAGCGGCATATGGGCCAAGAGAGTGATCCGTTGGGTTCCTCCTGGCACTTGGAAGTAATCCCCAGTGCTGTCCACTGCCACTTTTGTCTCCTGTCCCTGGCTTCAGAGTGTTTTATGGCTTTCTTCTTCAGTCACTAAGAGTTATTTCCCAGGAATTTATGGCTTCTGGCCTAACCCACAGCATCTGTTCTCCCAAACGGGGCAGTGTAGAGAAATCCATCAGAAGAGTTGACCTCCTGCCAGATGAGGGCAGGAATGAAGTGCAGTCAGTTACACAGAAGACGCCCACACCCCTTCACCAGCACCTCCTGAGACCCTGTCCCTGCAGGCCTCCTGGAATGGGATGTCCTTGGTGTGTGGGTGTGGAGTTCAACGCCAGATCTGCCTGCACCAGCCCAGGAGAACCCGGCATTCTCAGTGGGCCAGAGATTTCTCTGAAGGCAGAGCTGATTGTACACCCCAGTGCTCACTGTGCCTGTGCTAGTGATGAGTGCCAGCCTTCCCCCCCACCGGTGTGAGTCCTCCCTGCAGCAGCGCCCCTGATAAGACACCCGGCAACCAGTCTGCTGCAGTGCTATGCACGATGATGCATTTGTTTCGCAGTTGAGCACTCTGTGTTGAGATTTTTTTGGTGGCGTTGTTAGGAAGTCTCCTAAATTGAAGCTACCTTCCGCCAGCTTGTCTCTGGAGTTCAGTCTGTCCTCTCGAGCCACACAAGGTGAGTACGATCTTCCTTCCACATGGCAATGACATTCGGATGCAGGCAGCATCCAAGGATGGCACATTCTGGTCCAACATGCCAGTACCTCTCCTTTATAGCAATGTTAACACACATCTGCTCAAATCAAGACTCAATCTCATTTAGCTGGCTTCGGAGTTGTCTGGCATTAGCAGGGGCTGATTTGAGTAGAGAAGTTGGGAAAGGGTCCCGGGAAGGTGTGGGAGAGATATTTTATAATCCATCACAAAAATTTTAAACCACAAAAAAAAAACCACTTCTGACAGCTATCACAGGAAGCACATTGCTTCTCACACCCCAACATTCCATTATGTTGTAGTTGGCTAATAGCACTTTGAAAGCCACTTTTTTTTTTTTTAAGAATTTAATATGCCAGAAAAGGTGGTGCTTTTCCAAGCATGCATATACCAGGCGGACAGGGTAACATGTGCAGGTGGGGGCACAAGGCACCGGCGTGTGTAAAGGTGGGCATTTGAAAGTGTGTCTGCGTGGCGACCAGGGATTTGGACGGGGAATATGAGTGAAGCTTCAGCTGCAGAGGAGAGGTGCTACCAACACTAAAGAAGCTGCCTGTCCGAGTAAAGGAATCCTGGCTCCACGGTGTGGCAGGAGAGCCGTCATGCTGCCAAGTCCTAAAGATCCACCTCCCTTCGCGTCCCTCACACCCTCTCACCCACCCAGCTGTCAGTGCTCTTCTACCTTGGCTCTGCCTGTCAAATCCATCTTCCACACTCCTGCCCAAGTGCTCCTCCTGGAATGGACCTCCCAGGCTACGTCCACCGTGGCCCCCTCCTGTCCTGAGGAGGGAGCCCATGGTCCTCTCCTGGGTCGCTGTTATGGCCTTGTCTGCTTCTTCAGCCTCGTCACCTGCCTCTTCCTCCAACCTTAAGTCCAGAGGTGATGAGAAGCCCCCCGTACGCCTCAGACTGTGCCTGACCTCCATGCTGACTCCCTTTCTGCCAAATGCAGACTCCCCTGCAGAAGGCAGCACTGAGGAGGTCTTTTCTAGCACGGGGACACCTTTCCTGCCCTCACTTGGGCCCGTCCCTTCCCTCCCTCTGTGCTCAACACCACACTCTCTTCACTTGTGTCTGTCACCCCGCCCTGCCTCTTGCTAAACCTGGAGCTACTTAAAAGTAAGAGCTTTCATCCAGCCTGGCATTCTCAGAGCACAGAATAGTAGAAACTGCTCATTAGATGTATATGCAAAAAGTAGAGACTGCAAGGGAAGGGAATTCAGGGGAGGAAGGCATTGGAATCTACAGGGAATTGGTTCTAGGACCACTCCCCAGACCAGTCTGTGGATCAAGTCCCTTATATAAAATAACACACTGTTAGCACAAAACCTATACACAGCCTTTTATATGCTTTAATCTCTCAATTACCTATGTATGCAATACAGTGTAAATGCTGTATAAATAGTTGTTATACTATATGGTTTAGGGGGGAATGAGTCTGTATATGTTCCAGACAGATTCGGCTTTTAAAATATTTTCAGTAAAATAATAAGCCATGGTTGGTTGGACCTGTGGCTGAGGAACCCATAGATATAGAGGGCTGACTGTACAATATATGAGGCACCATTTAAAATAGGCTTTATTGCATTAAATGGAACCATGTTTAAGTGTTCCCTTTAAATATGAGAGTAGTAACAGCAGGCAGAAGCAGCTTTCCTTTCCAAGAAATAGAGTTTCTATTTGCTCTAGATGTGCTTGTGTGTGTAAATTGTATAGCACAAGAATAGGGCATCATATTGGCCAAGACCACTGTGGCCCCCGGCTCACTTGCAAGGCTGCCCCTGCCCCACCTCATCTTGCTTTTTATCAGTGAGTAGCAGCTGCTGATGGACTGGCTGTAGCGGCCATGGGGAAGCCCTGCTGCTGCATCTTGACCGAACTCCCACTGCACGCTCACACTTTGACTCTGGTGCCATCGTTCCCACAAAGTGTCTCTGAGACGAGCTGAATAGTTTTGATAATTATATCTACAGTTTAGGATATGAGCAGGCATTAGGGAAATGTAGCTTTTAGGCTCTTTTTTTCAGTCAATTTGCATTAAAATTGGATGCTTAAATTCCAATTTACATAACACAGGATACGTGTAATATATCTACTTACTTTGAGCTGCATCTTATGTTTGGCTTTTGGTCTTTAGAGATAAAAGGAATCTGTTGCCCATTAAGAAGTATATAGGGGGATGTATTTCCAATAAAGGAGACCTTGCCACACATAAGTAGGGAGAATGTGGGATTCCTGAATTTAGAATAAGAGGTTACTAAAACACAACAGGCACAAAAGACAGTGCTGAGAAGCAAGAAATGAGATGGATCCCAGAAAGAACTCACCACCACCCACTATCCCAGAATGTTGTCTGGGATGCCAAGCTATTCTAAGCTTGGGGTGTGTGTGTATTATCAGAAGAGTGTGGGCTGTAGAATCAGGCAGGACTAAGTCTGAGTCCTGTAGTAACCACTGACTTCCTCACCTGGGGAAGTTACTTCACCTCTCTGAGCCTGTTTCCAAGCCATAAAGTGGACACAGTGATGTCTGGTAGAGAGAATGAGCCCCCCAAAGGTATCCCCTCCCCAACCCTTAGCACCTATCAAGATGTCACCTTACATGGCAAAAGGGATTTAGGTGATGTGATACTAATTGATGACTGGAAGTTAGGACTAGTAGAGCTTGCTTAGACTCCAGGCAGCAGAGAGGCGGAACAAGTCAGACTTGAGGCTCAGGGAGGTCTGACTGGTCATGCTGGTCTAAAGATGGAGGTAGAAGCATCTAAATAGCAAGAAGGGGCCAGGAAAGAAAAGAGAACCTCAGTTCCGCTGACCAAGAGCTCTGTTCTGCAAACAAACTGAGCTTCCAGAAAGGAGCATGTGTCCCACTGATGCCTTGATTTCACCTTGTGAGACCCTGAGCAGAGGACTCAAGCCCACCAAGTTTGTGGCAGTTCATTAAGACAGTACTAGAAAATGATCGCATCCCAAGTTGCGGGGCTGTGTGAGACAGTGAGACCGTGCATGAGCCTCTGCTCTAGCAGGACCGGCTGCCTTCCTTTGTGAACCAGATGAGAACAACATCAGGTAAAGGATAGTTATGTCTGGCCTGCCAGGATAGTCCATTCCTGCTACTTTTGGCCTCATACTTTCCGTGCTCTTAATTCAAGATTAGGGAAGTGTCCTTGTCTAGAAAGAGCACCAAGTTGGGTAAAATACCACCTTTCCCTCAGATGGAGAGTATGGAAAAGCTGCCCAGTGCTCTGCTCCTGTCTGAGCGGAGGCTACTCTGCTGAACCCATTCCCAGGTGCCATCCCTCGGGCCACCCTCTGCTGCTGCTCCCAAGTCTCCCCATGTCGAATTGAGTTTCATCACAGGGGATCCTGGCAGATGCAGGTGCCACTTTGACATGTGCATTTAGCCATATAGTCAGTGGTGACAGCGCTGTGCTTGTGGTTAGTAATTGTCCAGAAATAGAGTTCTGGATGCAGCCTTGATTGCCCCAGATGTGGATGAAATGTAATTTTAGTCACAGGTTCAAGGCTGTCTTTTGTGGACCAGTGAGAGTATCTTTAGACAAGTTCCTGCATTCATTAAGGGATGATAGCAGAGTATCTTAGCTGATTTTGTGCTACTGTAAGGGAATGCCAGACTAAGATATAGAGAGCAGGGATTTACTTCTTATAGTACTGGAGGCTGGGAAGTCCAGGCTCCAGGAACTCGCATCTGGCAAGTACTTCTTACTGTACCATCCTGTGGTAGAAGGCGGACAGAGCTCGCGTAACAGGGGCGAGGGGATCATGGACTTAATGTGTAGCAGGAACCCACTTCAGGGATAGCTAATGGCTCCTGAGATGCTAACAACCCATACATGAGGGCAGAGCCCTCGGGACCTAAGCACCTCTTAAAAGGCCCACTTCTCAACAGTGTTGCTTTGGGGATCCAATTTCCAACACGTGCGCCTTGGGGGACATATTCTAGCCATAGCACAGAGGTCATTTCCTGGCACAGAAAGCCCAGAGAACTTAAAAATTACCATTGCACATGCACATGTGTACGTTTAGTAATTCCAGTATGTAAATCTGTCTCTTGCTGCCACCTCCATCCTCTCCAAGCCCTTTGGCTTCCATAGGCTTAAACTTGGGCAGAGATGGAGTGGGTGACATGCTTGTATAGAGTATGCGTATGTGAATCTTGTGTGAGGCGCCATGTAAAACCGACTCCATGGAACAGTGTCCATGTGGAAGGGTGCCCTCTGCCTTGGTTAAAAACCAGGCTACAAAACCAGTTTAGAACCTTGGCCAGCCCAGTGAACAGGGGCACATGCATAGCCACCATGTGCTTCCCAGAGAGACAGTGAGCTGTTCACCCCGAATTACTGCCAGCCATTCATGGGCTCTCCAAGTAGGTGTTTGTTCAGGAGAGTGTGTGAGGCCCCGAGGAAGGCTGATGGGCTGATGAGGAGATGGAAGGAAAGGGATGGGAATGGCTGGCAGGGGGCACTTTGCTCCTGAATATTAATCTGAAGCTCAAAGACAGTAAGACCCTCACAGTGGCCCCGGGGAGGCCAAGCATTTACACACCTCCCTGCCCCGAATGCAGACCGTATTTGCGTTTATGTGGCGTTCATGACCAGGGATGTGATGTGGGCACTGGCTCAGCAAGAACCTCCTCCAGACTCCCCTCTCAAAGCCCATTGCTGCCTCTTCCTTCACTGATGAAATGATGATGCTTCAGGGGTGTTGATCTGGAGAGCAGGGCTCCAGCTGTGCCTCACACCTCTGTCCACTCTAGTCTTAAGGTTCGTATCCGGGCCTCCCTGCAGGAAAAGCAGGGATTAACAGACGTTTCCTAAAGCTTCAGCAGAACTCTGCCAACCAGCAACTCTAGCTCGCCAGCCCAGCAAGATGAAGTCAGGGGCACAGATAAGGGCAAGACAGCCATAAATCCTGGGTTTTAAATATTCCACACTGTACTGTCTATAAATAATTGCCATGATCGGGAAACCCCAGGCTGCATTTCCCACAATGTCTCTGGACTCCAGTGGCAGTATGGCAGTCCATGTCAGGCTGAGCGCCTCCTGAAAGTTTGGTTATGACCATCTGCACTTCAGAGAAGAGGAATTGAACTCCTGGGATGCAGGTTCCTCTGGGTGGAGCAGCTAGCCTGAAGAGCTAAGCCATTGGGAATACTGGTGAGTGAGTCAATAAGGTAGAAATGCAGCTTATGCATTTGTCACTTGTGTTAGTTTGTGAGCTCCTTTAATTCATATCCTTGTATCCACAGTTGCATTGGCCAGTTGCAGATGTTCTTGTTGAGGCAGGTGGTATTGAGGCAAGAGCCTGAATGTTGGAGTTGAGGAGCTTGACTTCGCTTCCTACCAGCTCACTGTCAGCCAGCCCCTAGAAGTGGGCACCGGTGCCCTGGAGTAGATCTAAGGCTGGTGGAATCGAGGGCAGTTCTCAGCATGGAGTGAGACCCTAGGGTCAGATGAGGAAGCAGTGTCAGGAGTCATTCAAACACAGAGCCTCAGGGTGAAGGGGAAGAACAGCAAGAGAGCAGAGGAAGATGGAAAAGAGCCAGGGCCAGATGAAAGCAAGGAGTCTCATGCCAGAACTGTGGCAGAGGGAGGGGGTCGGTGGATTCTGAGAGAAGCAAAATGCTGGACAGAGGCAACACGGAGAGCACCAGCTTGTGGGGTTTGGGAGGTAGGTTGAAGCCTGGGTTGGAAGGATTTGCTTTGCAAATGATGCGGGACATATGTCTCATTTGAATACATGGATAGGAAGCTATGGTAGCTAAAGCACAGGCGTATCTTTAGAGGAAAGCTGGCACGAAGTACGCAGGTTATATCTAGTAAGCAAGGCTCTCGTCTGTGGTGTGGGGGATTAGAGGAGTTTCCTTTTTAGGAAGTGGAGCAGGGTGTGTTTGGAGTCCCTGCCGGGGAGTGGATTGGATCACACACAAGTAAAGAAGACATCCTGAGACTGAGTCATCTATGTATGGAAGACCCTCAGGATGCTCACTATGCATGGAGATGTGGTGTTGGGCCTTCAGCTGAGCCGCTCCTTGAACAGTGACTCATGTAAACACCAGGCTGTAGACACAAGACTAGGGCCCAAGCAAGGGCTAACCCACCTCAAATCCTGGACCTTTAAGTCTAGGAAGTTCAAGTGTGTCCTGCAGTATAGCAGCAGATGAGAAAAAAGAGGCAGTTGGAAATAGTATAAGAGGGTAGGCAAAGCATATCAGTGTCCAAGCTTTAAAGACACTGGCTTCAGAAAAGCATCTCATGAGTCCTGTCCTTGAGTTTCTAGTCACACTTAGAGTTTACACAACCACCCTCAGGGTTCTGTTTCGTTTGATGGTGGCAGTCCTGAGGAGTGTTGACATGATCTTTGACACATGAGGAAATCAAGCCTCTCCCTGCTGAAGGTTTCCCAGGGACACAGCTAGTAGGTTTCTACAAATTCTGGTCTGCTGAGTCCAAAGCCAAGTTCTTCCTGCTTCTTTTCCTTGGGAATGAGCGTCAGCTTATTCAGGAGAGCTCCCACGCAACAGGCAAAGGGGCAGATGCGGAGAAGGTATGGTGTAGGCTTGGTGGAAAGGAACTCCTGGCTGCAACTCGGTGGCCTTTGCAAGGAGACATGGGAGGAGGCAGGAGAGGACAGTGGAGAGTTGCTGAGGATGTGTGAGTGAGAGCAGGTGAGGGTCAGAATGAAGGCTCGAGGCTGGGGCCCTGCTTGGAGATTTGGAGTGAAGGGGGACAAAGAGAAGGGAGCAAGAGAGACAGTAGACAACAGAAGCCCAGTGGGAGGAGGCATGCGGAGGCCAGGTGTTGGGGCAAAGGCTGCTGGAGGGAACAGGGCAGGCGTGCAGTGGGAAGGCCCTGGGAAACCTGCATTTCATTCCCTGCTTCTGGGCCCCTGGCCTGCTTCCCACGGGGGTGCAGGGGCAGCCAGCCCTGAGTGCAATCAGTAAGGGATACACTGTCTGTAGAGAATTTTAAAGCAAGAATACAACGGTCTAATGGTCGTTCTGTGTTTTTAAAAAAATATCATCATACACTGGCAGTTCTAAACAGCGACAGTGATGAAATGCTTCCCTGACCCTTCAGTATGCCACTGCTTCCTGCTGGGACAGAAGCCCTGCTTGGTGCCTGCTTCTGTGCAGTCCCCAGGGGCAGGAGGAGAGTACACAAAGCACAGCTGCATCTGCTAATTCTACCCCACCCATCGCTCTGAGGTCCCCACTGCAGCAACCAACCAGGAGGAAATGGGTGTGCGTGCACCGTTCTGTCTGGGGGTCTCCCCCAGAGAACTTTGCAACTTCCTGCATCATCTACAGGTGCTCTCAGTTCTTGGTTACTGCCCAGATCCCCTCCTCACGGGCTGTTCAGGACGTCCTTGTCCAGTGCATGGAAGGAGTGTTCGTGGACACCTCAACCAGGTGCCTTCTGGCGGCTTAGAGCTCATGGCTGCACCCTTGTGTCTCCTCGTGACAGACATCTGGTCTGACTTGGAAAAATCTCCCTTGGTCTTCAGTGGAACTCCCTTCTCCCGGGTCTTGGTGATAACCACCTGCAGTCGTAAGATGTGACTCTGTTTATCTTCAACACCGAAACTGCTCCCTAGACTCCCCTTTTTCAGGCAAAACAGCCTTGAAAAGCCTTGTGCCCAGCCATGCTGGACACTGAATACATGTTGGTGTGCCAGCATCTAGTCCTGCATTACCTCAACCACCTCGCAAGTGTGAGCACCATTGTCCACACTTGCAGATGTTCTCCCAGCTGGAGGAACGCAGCCAGTTCTTAGCCACCCATAGTGCCCTTGTCCTGGTGTGCCTGCCACCCAGTACCTCAAAGCCCATGTATGGTGTGTCTGTCTTACAGAAATCTCCTTCCGCGTGTGGATGTGTGGGGGTAGCCTGGAGATCGTCCCCTGCAGCCGTGTGGGACACGTCTTCCGGAAGAAGCACCCGTATGTTTTCCCTGATGGAAACGCCAACACGTACATAAAGTAAGTGTGCACATCCAGGGTTCAGCATGTGTGGGCAGCAGCTGCAGGGCTGCTCTCTAGGCTGCCCAGGAATCCGGAATTAGGGCCAAGGCTTTTCTGATGCATCCTTGGGGCAAGGTTACCTGAAGGGCCTCAGGATGTCAGGTTGCTGGCCAGTGCCATCATACAGGGCTTAGGCTCCAGTATTTGTGGTTGTGTAGGTTACAGGACAGGCAGCTACTTTTTACCCTGCTTTCTAGATCTGCTGTTCCCATCTTCAGGCTGGGTCACTAGGGGAAGATCTTTGCGAAGATGTAGGGATGGACAGCTACCTCTAGGCATCTGCTCCAGGGCCTCACCTATGAACCAGAAGAATCCAGACTAAGCATATCGCAAGAGCCTGGTTTCTGTCCCCAGCATTCTCCTCTCCTGCCTGGGGACAGTACATCTACTCCATAAGATACTGGAACTCAGCAATCTGATGGAGCTCATTTGCCTAGCCCTTCTCTCCCTTTATATACCCTCCCCTTTCCTTCATTTCTCTTCTTTTAAGTCTCCTCTCAAAGGAATATATATATAT